ACCTTCAGTGGATGGCCAGAGGCTTACCCCTGTCGCACTAACACAGCAGAGATCCATCTTAGATTTGATTTGGGTGTAGCCCTGGCCAGGCTCTTGTACTGCCCAAAGTGTATCCTTTCAATAAGTACCTACTTTATTCTTTTTGCTCTGTCTCCTCTCTGTTCCAGGTCAGCCTTTCCAGGCAACAATACAACCAACTGCCAGCAGACAAAACATGCTACAATCTTTTCACCGACAGTTCTTGTTGCATCATGGGGATGAATCAGAAGTGGAAAGCAGCCATATGGAATCTCACATGACATGGCACAGAAGCTACTGAAGGAGAAGGTGGATCAAGTCAACTTGCTGAACTCAAAGCTGTTCAGCTGGCCCTGGACATTGCTGAGAGAAGTGGCCAAAGCTCTACCTCTATACTGATTCATGAATGGTAGCCAATGCTCTGTGGGGTTGGCTGGAAAATGACTACCTGACAACGTAGGGGAAAACCAGTCTGGGCTGCTGATGAGTGGAAAGACATTGCCAGCTGGATAGAGAAGCTGTCTGTGAAAGTCCATCATGTAGATGCCCATGTCCCTGGTAGTTGGGCTAATGAGGAACACCAAAACAACAAGCAGGCAGATCAAGCTGCAAAGATAGAGGTGTCAAAGATAGATTTAGATTAGCAACACAAGGGAGAGTTGTTCCTGGCTCAATGGGCCCATGATGTTTCAGGCCACCAGAGCAGAGACGCCACCTATAAGCGGGTACGAGACCGAGGGGTGGATCTAACCATGGACAGTATTTCTCAGGTTATCCATGACTGTGAGACATGCGCTGCCATCAAGCAAGCCAAGCGGGTGAAGCCCCTCTGGTATGGGGGGTGATGGGCCAAATATAAGTATGGAGAGGCCTGGCAGATTGACTACATCACACTGCCTCAAAAAGTAAATTCTTTGGAGGCATGGTACCCCTGAGAGAATTGAGTCAGACAATAGGACTCATTTCAAGAACAGCCTTATAAAAACCTGGGCTAGGGAACATGGCATTGAGTGGATGTACCACATTCCTTATCATGCACCAGCTGCAGGGAAAGTTGAACGGTGCAATGGCCTGCTTAAAACCACCTTGAAGGCACTGGGTGGCTGGACTTTCAAGAACTGGGAGATTAATTTAGCCAAGGCCACATGGTTAGTGAACACCCGAGGTTCCACTAACCAAGCAGGCCCTGCCCAATGTGAGCCCTTGAGAACACCAGATGGAGATAAGGTTCTAGTGGTACACAAGTGGTACACGTGAGAGACCTGCTGTTCACAGAGAAGGGCCAGGGGAAGATGGGTCTGAGGCTGTTGGGGGTACAGTGACCATGAAATAATAGAGTTCTCAATGTTCAGTGAAACAAGGAGGGGCATCCAGAAAACTGGACTTACAGAGGGCAGACTTTGGCCTATTCTGGATGCTCATTTGGACAGTGCCTTGAGAAACAACCCTTAAAAACAAAGGGGTCCAGGAAGGATGGGCATACTTCAAGAAAGAAATCTTGAAGGTGCAGGAGCGGACTGTCCCTATGTGCTGAAAAAATGAGCTGATGGGGAAAATGACCAGCATGGCTGGGCAGGGAGCTTTTGAAGGAACTCAGGGAAAAAAAGAGGGTAGATCACCCTTTCAAAAAGGGGCTGGCAACTCAGGAAGTGTTTAAGGATGCCATTAGTTGTAGGCATACATATTGAAAAAGCAAGAAACATATTCCAGGTTGGAGCTTCTCACCTCTGTTCCCAGCTGATAAGCTGGTCCCACTGAAAGCTAGGGAGAATTTCTCTCAGGGTAATACCTTGGTCAAAGATAGAATACCTGTTGTGATGCGTGACCAGACCCTGGGAATGGGGTGTCTTCTCTCTGAACCAATCATGTTTCTTCTGCCCTTGGAGTTGCAAGTCGCTCTTTTTAAGCAAGTATGCTTCTGAATAAACTGGTCTCTCTTTCTTTCCTATCATGAAAGAGGACCATGTAGCTGTGCATTTTATTTCCACTGCATCCAAAGGGTTAATACCCCATTCCATGGCTACAATTAGGTCATGCAGAAAGAAAACTAGAGAGACAAAAGCTCAAACAGAACTTAATCTGGCCTCTTCTATAAAGGATAGTTAAAAAATGTTTTTATAAATATATTATTGGCTGTTCTAGCTACAGGAATAGGACACCAGTTTAGCATTATGTGGGTGTAATCAAACTGTATTTTACTCCCCTCTGTCATTTCTGCTGAACTGTTCATGATGGGTCACGAACACTGTGCAGTAGCTGCACAGTGCACACCTGACACCTCATGTTAGAAACTGAGTGTTAAATAAGACAGGGAAAATGAGGCAAACCCTGTGAGGCAAGTAGTGTTTCTTTTTCTTCACATCAATGACTCAGCTGTGATAACTCCCCTGTAGGGGAGCACCAGCATGTTCACCCCAAGCCTAAGAGGTCATCTCTGCTAATGGGCTAAAGGGACTCAATGGCTTCAGCAGAATAGGCCACTGTAATGACTTAAGACCATAAAATATCCCAAAATGTCCATGACTCACAGTGTAATATCATCCACTGTAACACTTCCTACCTTGGGGGAGATACTGAGCACTCTTTGCTGGGTTAAGAACTGGCTGGATGGCTGGGCTCAGAGAGTGCTGGTGAACAGTGTGCATCCAGATGGGGATCAGTCACCAGTGGTGCTCCTCAGTGGTCTGTGCTGAGGCCAGTTCTGTTCAATATTTTTATTGATGACATGGATGAGGGTATTGAATCTTACATTAGTAAATTTTCAGATGACACTAAGCTGGGAGCGTGTGTCAATCTGTTAGAAGGTGTGGACACACACATTTAGAGACCTAGGGAATTACAGCTTGGAAATTCTTTTTCAGGCCTGGATTTCTCCTGACTCTCAGGTCCATTCCCAGGCTGACAAGCTGACTACAGCTTCAGCTAGGGAGGAAATCTCCTAGGGTGATAATATGGTGAAAAACAGAGTGGAATTCATAATAAAGATTAACACCTGGTGTCTTTCCTGTGGAATACATCCTGAGGTACTGTCCCAAGGATGTTTTTCCCAATTATCTAATGAACTACTGTCCTGTCCTAGCTGCACGTAACACGCTTTAAATATGAACTGTCCGTACAGTAAAGTTGGCCTTTTTTCCCTAAAGAGGTCCGTGTGTGTTGCTGTCCTTGCCCTTTTTAGCGCAGTAACCACAGAAGGTAGGAGGGATCTGGAATGTTTGGAGGGATGGACAGAGTCCAATAGTGATGAGGTTTAATAAGTCCAAGCACTTAGTCCTGCATTTTGGCCACAATAACCCCCTGCAATATTACAGGCTGGGGATGGTGTGGCTGGACAGTGCCCAGGCAGAAAGGGACCTGGGGGTACTGATCGACAGCCAGCTGAACATGAGCCAGCAGTGTGCCCTGGTGGCCAAAAGGCCAATGGTATCCTGGCCTGTATCAGGAATAGTGTGGCCAGCAGGAGCAGGGATGTCATTCTTCCCCTATACTCAGCACTGGTGAGGGCACACCTTGAGTGCTCTGTCCAGTTCTGTCCCCTCAGTTTAGGAAGGTGAGACACTTTGAGACACTTGAGCACGTCCAGAGGAGGCAACAAGGCTGGTGAGGGGCTTGGAACACAAGCCCTGTGAGGAATGGCAGAGGGAGCTGGGGTTGTTTAGCCTGGAGAAAAGGAGACTCAGGGGTGGCCTTATCACTCTCTACAGCTGCCTGAAAGGTGGTTGTTGTCAGGTGGGGGTGGTCGCTTTCTCCAGGCAGCAGATGACAGAACCAGAGGAAACAGTCTGAAGCTGTGCCAAGGGAAATATAGGTTGGATATCAGGAGAAAGTTTCTTGTGGAAAGAATAATAAAGTACTGGAATGGTCTGCCCAGGGAGGTGGTGGAGTCACCATCCCTGGATGTGTTTAAAAAAAGACTGGATGTCGCACTCAGTGCCATGGTTTAGTTGAGGTGTTGGGCGTGGGTTGGACTCGATGATCTTGAAGGTCTCTTCCAACCTAGTGATTCTGTGCTTCCCCCATCAAGGGGCTGAGAGTGGGAAAGATCCTGGGAGGGGACACAACCATGTCAGCTGACCCAAATTAACTGAAGGGATATTCCACACCATATGGCATCAACTCAGATAAAAAAGCTAAGGGAGAGAGGAGGATAGGGGGGCATTTGTGATTCTTCAGTGTTTGCCTTCTCAAGCAACCACTACATGTCCTGAAGCCCTGCTTTCCAGGAAGTGTCTGAACATACTGAACTCACTGACGGGAAGTAGAGATTGACTTTTGCACGTGCAGACTCTTGCTTATTTCTTTCCCTTCACTGTAATAAAACTGTCTTATCTCACCCAATGGTTGTTTTCCATCTTATTCTGTCCCCCGGGAACCAGAGTGATAGAGCAGCTTAGGGGGCACCTGGCACCTAGCCAAGGTCAAACCACTACCGTTCTTTTTGGGTAATAATCAAGTGGCTGAATTAATTCAGGGAGTCTCCTGGAAACTTGGGAAATGTTTAAGGATGTTGGCAGATCACGTAGGGAAAAAAAATGAGGGTGGTAAAACCCAATTAGAACTTAATCTGGCCACTTCTGTGACGGATAATAAAAATATTTTTATTAATACATTAATGGCAAAAGGAGGGGCAAGGATAAACTCCATCCTTAATTGGATGAAGGGGGGAGAATAGGAATCAGCCTGCTGCTGAGCCTGATCCCTAATGAGGTGCAGCTGTATAAGACAGGTGACCAGCATTGAAGAAGAAGCATGGGATACTGATGTGTCTTGACTAATCACAAAAGAGTAAAAGGGCACACAGGTGTTATGCATGTGAGAGAAAAGGTATAAAAAGGTGTACTGGGGACTAATAGAGGGCTGATGCTTGCTACTCTTTTTTGTGTCAGTTCTGTGCCGGCAGTACAGGAGGATAGAGTAACTAAAGATGAGGAAAAGGCAGAAGTACTTAGCACTTTATTTGCCTCTCTTTTCAACAATAAGACAGGTTGTCCACAGGACAGCTGTCCTCCTGGGCTGGTAGATAGGGCCACAGAGCAGAATAGTCCCCCTGATACCCAGGACAAAGTAGTTAGACACCTACTGAGCCACTTGCATGCTTACAAGTCTATGGCGATGCGTTAAGATTTTCTGTTCTGCTTGGGCGTGCTTTTCTATTGTGCTTGGGTGGTGAAGGCAAAACAGTCCTATTCCAGCTAAGGACTCAAGTACAGTCTCTTCAAACTTCAGGGCCTAAGCATAAACAATGTGAAAAGAGGAGGGCAGGCAAGTAAGGAGGACAAAACTTCATGATTTGTGACTATTAATTGGACAGTTAACTCCTGCATGCAAATGGACTAAAACCTATAAAGATGTGAGATCTTGGGACCAAGCCCTCTTTTGCTTCCATCTTAGAACCATCCAGGCAGGAGCCACGACTATGGCACTGGTACTGCCAGGGTGTGGCCTTTGAAGACCTCTCAATAAATATAGATTTATTTCCCTTAATTCTGTGTAGCCTCTGTTCCAGCTCCTCTAGGCATCACTGGGACTGGATAGGATCCATCCTAGGGTGATGAGGAAGCTGGCAGATTAGCTTTTGAAGCTGCTGTCCATCATTTTTCATCAGTCCTTGCTCATGGAGAAGGTCATGACTGGAAGCTGGCCAGTGTGACACCCATCCAGAAGAAAGGACAGAAGGAGGATCCAGGAAACTACAGACCAGTCAGCCTGACCCTGGTGCCCACAAAGGTTATGGAACAGATCATCTTGAGTGCCATCACACAGCACCCACAGGATGGCCAAGGGCTCAGATCCAGCCAGCATGGGTGTAGGAGGGGCAGGTCCTGCCTGATCAACCTGATCTCCTTTTATGACCAGGTGGCACACCTGGTGGATGCAGGGAAGGCTGTGGATGTTGTCTACCTGGACTTCAGCAAGGCCTTTGACACTGTCTCCCACAGCACACTCCTGGAAAAGCTGCAGCCCATGGCTTGGACAGGAGCACTCTGTGCTGGGTTAAGAACTGGCTGGATGGCCGGGCTCAGAGAGTGCTGGTGAATGGTGCTGCACCATGGGCATCAGGCACCAGTGGTGTTCCCCATGGATCAGCTGGGCCCTGAGCTATATAATGTCTTTACTGATGATCTGAATGAGGGGAATGAGTCGACCATCATCAAATTTGCAGATGAGACCAAGCTGAGAACAAGTGTTGATCTGCTGGAGGGTAGGAGGGCTCTGCAGAAGGACCTGGGCAGAATCCAACAGTAAGAGGTTTAACAAGTCCAAGTGCCGAGTCAAGTCCTGCACTTTGACCACAACAACCACATGAAGCATCACAGGCTGGGGACAGATTGGCTGGACAGTGGCCAGGAAGAAAGAGACCTGGGGATGCTGATTGACAGCCACCTAAACATGAGCCAGCAGTGTGCCCCGGTGGCCATGGCTAATGACATCCTGGCCTGTATCAGGAATTATGGCCAGTAAGACCAAGGAAGTCATTCTTCCCCTGTACCTGGCACTGGTGATGCTACACCTTGAGTACTGTGTCCAGTTTTGGGCCCCTAATTTAGGAAGGAAGGATATAAAGATGCTGGAGTGTGCCCAGAGAAGGGCAATAGCTTGGGAAGGGTTTGGAGCACAAGTCCTATGAAGAGTGGCTGAGGGAGCTGGGGGTGTTTAGCCTGGAGAGGAGGAGGCTCAGGGGAGACCTTATCACTCTCTACAGCTGCCTGAAAGGAGGGTGGAGCCAGGAGAGGTTTGATCTTTTCTCCCAGGCAACCAGTGACAGGACAAGAGGACACAGATTTAAGCTGTGCCAGGGGAGGTTTAGGCTGGACATTAGGAAGAAGTTCTTCCCAGAAAGGGGGATTGGGCATTGGCATATACTGCCCAGGAAGGTATTGGAGTCACCATCCCTAGAGGTGTTTAAGAAATTACTGGATGTAGCACTCAGTGCCATGGTGTGGTTGACAAGGTGGTGTTAGGGTCATAGGTTGAACTTGGTGATGTTGGAGGTCTTTTCCAGCCTAGTTGATTCTGTGCTTCTGAATGCAGTCACACCATCACTGAGTGCTGCTGTGACAGACATGCTGGAACTTCAGTATGAACTGGAGTTCAAGGCAACAAAATGGGACCCCACTCTTGACAGTGCAAATGCATTTTTCTCTATTCTCTAGCAGCAGAATGCAGGCCACAGTTTGCTGTTGCCTGGAGGGGCATGCAGTATATTTGGAATCGACTGCATCAGGGTGGAAACCGTCCCACCATCTACCATGGAGTGATCCAGACTGCACTGAAAAGAGTGAGGTTCCAGTACACTTGCAGTTTATCCATGACCTCATTGTATGGGGCAACACAACAGAAGACATTTTTTGAGAAAGGGGAGAAAATAATTCATACTGTCCTGAAAGCTGTTTTTGTCATTAAACAAAATAAGGTCAAGGGACCTGCCCAGGGAATTCAGTTCCTAGGAGTGAAGTGGCAAGACAGCTGTCAACAGATTCCAGCAGAGGGGATTAATAAAATGGCTGCCATGTCCTCCCTCACTGACCAGAGAGAAAAAAACACAGGCTTTCCTAGGTGCCGTGGGTTTTTGGAGGATGTACATCCCAGAATATAACTAAATTGTAAGCCCTCTCTACCTTGTGACATGGAAGAAAAACTGTTTCAAGTGGGGCTCTAAACAACAGCAAGTCTTTTAGCAGACCAAACAAGAAATTACTCACGCAGTAGCTCTTGGGCCAGGCAGGACAGGATGTGAATAATGTGCTGTACACCACAGTCTGGAGCCTCTGGCAGAAGGTACCTGGGGAGACTTGAGGATTTTGAGTTTTGGAGTCAAGTATACAAAGGATCTGAGGCCAGCTGTACCCCAGCTGCAGAAGAGATTCTTGCAGCCTGTGAAGGGGTTCGAGCTGTCTCAGAAGTGATTGGCACTGAAGCACAGCTTTTTCTGGCATCCTGATTACCAGAGTTGGGCTGGATGTTTAAAGGAAAGGTCTCTGCAGTACATCATGCCACCTGGAGTACATGGATTGCCCTCATTACACAACGAGCTCAAACAGGAAATGCAAATTGCCCTGGGATCTTGGAATTTATCACAAACTAGCCTGAAGGTGACAACAACCGGCCCACCTTTCCCAAAGGTAAATGAAATTCAGATATATTCATATATGTTCTCCTATAAAGGGAGACAACTCATTCCAGAGTGTTCTCCTTTAAATTGTCTGAAACCAAGACACCAATGACTGGGAAAAGACAAATATAACCCCCATTTCTAAAAACAGGAAAGCCGAAGACCCGGGGAACTACAGACCAGTCAGTCTCACCTCTGTGCCAGGCAAGATCATGGAACAGATTACCCTGGAAATTATCCTAAGGCATACGGAAAACAAAGAGGCGATCGGTAGCCGCCATGGCTTTATTAGGGACAAATCACGCCTTGACAAACCTGGTGACCTTCTGTGCCGGGGCTATAGTGTTGATGGATAGGGCAGAGCAACAGGCATCGTCTGCCTGGATTTGTGCAAAGCGTTTGACACTGTCCAGCATGACATCCTTGCCTACGGCCCTCCCACCGTGCCAGCCCCACCAACACGTTGGTATTTGTCCGCTCATTTTTGGGGAACTGGGGTTCCACGCACCGGGGCTCCATCCCGCTGCCCCGCCGCCTGGCACAGCAGTAACCCGTGGCATATCCTGCCATCGCCAGGGTATCCCGAGCGGAGCGGAGCGGAGCCGCTCCCTTGGCCGCGCCCCTCCCGTGCTCCGAGCGGCCGGGGGTCGCTCCGGCCCGGCGCGGCGGGGGCAGAGACGGTGGCGGGGCAGGAGCCTCCAGGAGCATCTTTCCGGCGGCGGAGGGCGCGGGCACCCCTCCGCTCCAGCGGCCGGACCCCTCGCCTCCTCTTCGCCCCCGGAGCCGCCGCGGTGCCCGGGCCGGGCCGGGCCGCTCGCTGCCCGCCGGCTGCGCGGGACGGCCCCGCTTCACACACGAGCAAACGCAGGGCAAGCGTCCCCCGGCTTCCCCTTCCCCTGCCCCATCCCTGCTGGGACACGCCAGTACTTCGGCCGGGAGAGGCGTCCGGAGAGCCCCTTCGTGCTCTCCCTGGCCACCGCGGGAGCTACCGGGGCAACTCGCCTTGCAGCCCTCCCGCTCGCCACTGCACCCCGGGCAGTCACCCCCGCACCCTCCCGGGCTCCCCTTCTCTCAGAATCCTAGCTCCAGAGAGGCGTTTCTAACTGGAACCTGCCGGCTGCAACAAGGGGTTTGCATCCCAGTAAGGGATCCCGTAATCCCGGCGTTACGATCCCAGTAAGAAAGGCACCTGGATTCTGTAAAGCATAATTGAAAATAAGACTTATGAAAGCTAACAGGATAAAGAAGAAAAACCGGAGAGTAAAACTTACGTCCCTTTAGATGCCGGGAGCTTCGTGTTGAGCAGCACTGGAGAGTATAGCAGCATGCCCTGCAGACCCCATCAGAAGGAAGGAGTAGTCTGTTCTGGTCATTCGAGCCTTTTATAGGATTTTCTTACAAGAAAAACAACTCCATTCATCATTTCTACTGTCAAACAGAGGATGTTCACATGAGAACTTCGTGGTGCCCTGTGAGATAAAGGCAAGGCCGCTCAGGTGTGTTATCACTGATAGAGTGGGAGCTGCCCACAGGCTCCTCTGTTATCATCACCCGACTGAATCTGCCCTGCACCGGGCAGAAGTGCAGCATGGCATAGGCCTGAAGGTGATGCTGTTGGTGCACAGCACAGCATGGGCTTGTACCTTCTCAGATTCACTGTTACACGGATCACTAATCCTCACTGTGCAATGGTCTAAGTCAGAATCACTGCAGGAGCCCATAAAAGCAGCTTGACATCTCCATCAGTCTGGACACAGCTTGAAAGATCCTGAAGTTTAAAGCAATTGTTCTCTGTAGCAGGGGATTTAGGATTTTAGCATGGAATATGTTGCTTATGCTGATAAGGTAGCAGTCTATACAGAGTCCCTACACTGGCATTCTGACAGTATAATTTGTTATTTAAGAGAAAAGGATTGTTCAGAGATAGGCCGAGTATAAAACAATCAGCAAGTTTTAATGTTCACAATGCTAGCTGGAGCTCAGCTGGAATATGATCAGTAGTTGTCATGAAGGAGACTGGCCTAGCAGGCTGCATCCAGCTTCAAAATGAAAGAAGCACTGAGATTTATCTGTCATGCATGATATCTTCTCCCAGAGGTTCTTAGTTACAAGACATTATTTGTTAATAAGATTGCTGTAGTCTGACTACTAATTCTAGTAAAGTCTATTATAAATTCCAGAATAATACTGAAGTTTATTGAAATTCTCTGCTGGCTACAAAATAATTTTCCTTACTTATTGACAGCAAATATGTCACCATCTTTTTTAGTTTCTGTTCCATGGATATTCCTAATTTTATTGTCCTTGCCATTTCACTAGTTGCTTTGTAAATCTAATTTCTCTAATGAATGGAGCTACAGTGAAGAGTCACTTGTGTAATGTTTAGACTAACTTGAAGCTCCACTGAGGTGGCCATGGGTCATCTCACAGAGCTAGCTGCAGAGCAGACCTCTCAGCACTCTCAATATCCTCCATCTCCTCCTGTTCCACAGCACTTTGGGATTGGTGCTTATTTGTCTTACACAAAGTTCTGCAAACACAGCAAGCAAGCTAATGTCTTTACCAAATAGCAGAAATAAACAAGGAAAGTCAAGCATACTTTCATGTGAAGTTCCTGAACCATGCTTATTTCATATAGCAACACTTAAAGCTTTCTGAGGACAGCAAATGTAACCTCTTATATTATCAGTGTTGTAGTCTAAGAAGGATCTTTTTGGCTGTTCTGCTACCCTTGAAGTAAACATGACAGAGATTGTCATTCCCCTTGTAAGTCGGAAGGACCATCTGGCACTACATTAGAACAGCATTCTATTAAATTCATCAGCATGCTAATTACAGGATGACTAGTGAATGGTTAAACTACCAGATGCTATGAAGATATATCACTGTCTGTTTACGTAGTTAGGCAAACGTTTAATTAATCCTCCAGCTGCTGTGTCTGCTTTACCTATGAACATATCTAAATTGCATTCACCTGTGCAAAAGGCAGGCCAGTCATTGCCTTTCAATAAAAAATGAAGCTTAAACACAACTTTGGTGCAACACACAGCATGAACATGTATGATTTAACTATGCATACTGGTAATTGCATCAAAACCAATTACAGACTCTTCCACTTCAGTTCCTGGATTGTGCTCCCCGATCCTTGAATAATCTTTTAGCTGTCTTGCAAGTTTTGAAAGCTGAGTTGTTTTAGAGACTTCAGCAATGCCATGTTAGAAAACTCAGTATTATAGCCTCAGTTAATAGGATGTCTACAAGTGATCCTACAGCCTTTTACTTTTCCCATTCTAAGGAGTCTTTCATTCAGAAAATACTGAGGAGGATAAGTGACCTTCCAATATCACAATATATAATATTGGTCCCAGGGTGTTTAGTACTCCCATGAGGCTGCTTCTTTACTGAAATGCTGAAAATCAGAACCCATTTGGGATGTGGCCTTGGCTAAGGATGATTTGCAAAGAGAGTGTAGCACCTTTATAATTGAAAGTGTTTTTACTTGTCTCTATTTGGTATTGTAAAGTCTAGAGATGAGATCTGGAAAAATGGGACTTAGTTATCTAGCTGAAGTCTAGCCTCCATTAACTCAAATTTTCAATACACTTCCCTTTTTTGTGTTTAGGAGCCAGATTTCATAAAGGTGCCTTATTTCCACTTAGTACTGGGCCCATAGTCAGTCTGGACTTTTTGTAGAATCCATCCCAAGGCACAGACATTGTGGAGACCAAAGATGCACGTGGACAACAGGCTGAGACTCAGCTGCATATCTCGAGTCCCCTGAGTCAAGAGCTTTTTTTGGATGGGCAGCATCCTTGCCTGGACATGGTCTGTTGATCTCTGTTGATTGCAGAAGGTGCTTCATGCAACTGAAATTGCCAAGCTTGTGTTGCAGTTTTGCAAAAAGTTCTTGGATTGATTTTGGAATGCATTCTTCCAGACAATTCGTGAGCCCAGGAGTTATTACATAACAAAGAGCAGTGCCAAGAGGCA